TCTCTCTCTCTCTCTCTCTCTCTCTCTCTCTGTCTGTCTGTCTCCATTTTCTCACAAATAACATTGATCAAAGTTCAGCATTAGAAACCCAGAATAAACAGCAATTTAACAGATATACAGAAACAATGCGACTATCGCCACCATTTTCAAAACAACCGTCAACCGAAATAACATTTAGTAAAACACCCACAAGGTTAGTGACAGAATGGGGAAGAATAAAGTAAAAATCTGAGATACCAACATAAAGAATATAAAAAGTATGTTAATTGTACAGGTATAACAACAATTTCAAGACTGTGACACGACACCCCTTACTGTGAACTCCACACCATACAAAAGACCTTGTTAAGTTGTGGGAAATTCTTCAAAACAACCGAAATTTAAGAACAGCTGTTGGGGATTCAAACCAGAGTCATGATCACTCCTTTGTTCAGTATGATACCAATTCACCCTCAAATATCTATTTCCACAGACTGCTCATGTACGATCCTAAAACTAAGGTAACGTTACAGTTGGCCGACCAGCTAGCCTACCCCTTTGGTGTTCAACTAAGCAAGGATAAGACAGGAGTTCTCATTACTTCGCCACTTCTGCATGCCATCTACAGGTGAAAATATTATGGTCTCACTTTCTTTACCAAACAGGTCTTTTGGCACCTTAATACAAAGTTTTGTATGCTTCATAGTATATAAGCAGTTCTTGCCAACCTGGCAAGCAATTTGGTACTTTGGTGGGCCATGGCGATCGCCCAGGTAGTGATTGGCATTAGCCTCATGTTTCGCTTAGAAATGCACGTTGGTGGGCGCTTCGAAAATATTAGCCTCTTTGAAGGTGTCAAAAGTGGGTGCGGACTTTAAAATGATTGACAAGCACTGCTTCAGAGTTCACCCTTGTGACTGTATTCACACTGTTGCGAGGAGAACCGTATTCCACTAATGAATATTATTCATTATATATATAATGAATCTACTCCAAAACTACCTCCTTATGATCGATCACGCATGTGACATAGATGCAGGAAAGGAGGTGGGGGGGGGGGGGAATACTTTAAAAAGTTAAATTTGCCCCCTGAAGTACTTTTGTCACTTATTTAGTGGATTGGATGAGTGAGCGATTAATTGATTTCTTAACTCGGAAACGGCATGTCCATACTTGCCTTATATTCATATTATTTTAGTTTTCATTATGTTTTTCCTGTAGTTGTTAAAAGGGGTGCCTAGCTCCAAGAACGTCAGATTCTGTGCCACAAAAATTGACCGTGGCTTTTCACAATGTACATGTGTTTACAAAGTTTGTGCATGTTGCTTGAATGATGATGTATAATCCCGTGCCCATTTTCAGCCCGTTTTTTTTGGTTCAAATTATAAATGTATGCCATACAGGTACGATCTGAAGACACGCAATGTTTCTGTGTGGACAGAAGGTCTTCCGGGAATGCCACTTGGCATACGCTACAGCGAAAGTTCAGGTAAAAACATATAGGATGAGTTCAGCACGCTCCTCCGCCCTAACTTTAAAACTAGCAACGGTTTTGTTAGGCATGCGCTCCATTTAGAGTGTGCTTTTGCCTTTGAGCTCTCTCTGGTGGAAAAAAAGCTCCAAGGTCTGTCCTTAACAGTCCAAGGCGTTGTTATCAATAAATATACGTCTTTCTTGGACGGTATTTCATTGCTATGTAGCATAATAAGATCTCTAAATGTGTGGGTTTCAGGGTGACACTTTGCTTCACATGACTTCAAAGTGACCCCCTCCCCCCCGCACCTCACCCCCCATCCTCTCTCTTTGTCTGTCTGTCTGTCTGTCTGTCTGTCTGTCTGTCTGTCTGTCTGTCTGTCTGTCTGTCTGTCTGTCTGTTTCTCTCTCTCTCTCTCTCTCTCTCTCTCTCTCTCTCTCTCTCTCTCTCTCTCTCTCTTTTAAAAAAAACATTTTTCATACCTCTTTCTCTCTCACCCCTTCCCCTACGGTCTCTCTCTTTCTGACATTCCTGCTGTTTGTTAATGGAAACAAAGTTGCACGTATCATACAGTGCATCTGAAATTTGATCTTTGTTGTTGTTGAAATCCAATGTTGGAGTAAGTTTGAATTCGTAAAGATATAGATCTAGGCCTACTTGAAAATTTCCTACAATGCATCGAACTCTCTTCCTCCTGTTTGTACAATAGAAACAGTCAAATGGCTTTGAACATGTCCATTTTGGTCTCAGAATGATGAGGATCTAAATATTCAGTTTAACAATAAATATTTATTCTGTAAGCTAACAGCATGTCTTTATGTCACAGTTTTTATCTCTTCTATGAATTTCATGTAACTGAAATCAAGGCCGGGTACAAACTGTAATCGTAAGATTAGAATACTTGTAGTGTAATTGAATCATGGTAAAATGTCGCTTGAGATAGATCACGTCTGCGTTGCATTGTGTGCAATTCTCAGATTCTTACTGGCTGGCCATGTCATCCCCTAGGAGTGTGGAACGACCAAACATGTTCGAGAATTTGGCGAAGTCTCCGTCAAACCGACGCTACGCTGCTAAAGTACGTGGCTGTAACTGCTTTTGTTTCTACTTTTACTGGAGCTCAAACAGGGGAGGGTATTTTGGGTTCTTGCTGAATTAGACTTGCCGTCTTCTGACGGTAATTTACATTTGAAAAGGCAGTTTCAGAAACATATTGTTTTGCCATGGCAGAAAAGTTTAGTTTAGTTTTAGTAGAGGTTTTACAGCACTCGCAAGTGCATAAGGTCATGTGAGCGCCTGAAGATTAGAGGTGTTACAAGAGAGTAACAAACATAAAAAAGAAGAAGGGGAGATAAGGACGATAGATGTTTGATAGGAAAGAAGGAGCAAACCACACCAGAGCACACGCCAACCACCCACATGGCAGAAAACAAACCAAACCAAAATCAAACAAAAATAACAACAACCCTACGAAAGTGCTTAACTGTCTGCGACAGGATGGAATGTGGATGGAAAGATTATTTACCAATTATCGATTGTAGTGGGATTATTTGTTATTAACACACACACACACACACACACACACACACACACACACACACACACACACACACACACACACACACATACACTTACACACACACACACACACACACACACACACTTACACACACACACACTTACACACACACACACATACACACACACATAAACACACATACACACGCACACACACACACACACGTGTATATATATATATATATATATATATATATGTGTGTGTGTGTGTGTGTACATGTTTAATATTATGTACTCCCCCCCCCCCTCCTCTGTTTCCTCGAGGTATGCATTCCAATTGACCTCCCCGACCTCCCATTTTCAGTAATTACGATTGACAGTATCAACGACATAGGAAGGAAACCGTATCTGTTACCACATTAGTCTCTACCCTTATTACGGCTACGTTCATACCACCTTCACCCTGTTCCAATATACCCGTACACACATTGCGGCAAACAAATTATATATATATATATATATATATATATATATATATATATATATATATATATATATATATATATATATATATATATATATATATATGTATATATGATTTGATCAAGTACACTCCTGCATCCGTATACTTTGATTATTGTCGTTGCCTTTAACTTTTTCGAAATGTATTTTTGTCGTCTCATACCTAGTTCGTCAGCATGGACATGATCGAGACCCTAAGACAAGAGCACGGCTTCACCAACGAGGCTATGGTGGCTGAAGTGACTGCCAGTGGAACAATAGGGCGTGTGCTGCAGGACTCGAACACTAACCCACTGGGAGCTGTCACTGAGGCACAACATGTCAATGGTGTTTTGTACACATCTTCTTTTTTTGGCGCCGATGCAGTACATACCGTGAACCTGAAACATAAGTCTCGAAGCTAACATATTGGCTGAAGAAAAAAAAAGTTATATAGATCTAAGTCTCGGTGGTGTGAAAACATTGACGATTTTTTCCAAGACGCTAGTCAACAAAGAAAAATGGAAAAGACAAGCTCAAAAACATAATTAAACTACCACCATCACCACTACCAAAACAAAACCAGCAGCATCGACAACGACAATTGAAATAGATGGAAGACTAGATCTACAAATACTTACCTGTATTTTCTCCAAACAATATTCCATATAATAATAATACATTCTGATGATATTATGGCAATGAAAAAAATTCTAATGCCACAAAGTGAAAAAAGTAACTAGATAAAACAAGGAACAGATTTTGTGTTTTAAACGTTTGCTTTTGCATTTTCTGAGCACAGCCGAATCTGTTTCGTTATTCGGTTTCCCCCTCGCATTCCTTCATGTAGACCATACCTTTGCCCACCTGGTAGGCCCCTAAGGCTAGGGTGTGATCGGAGTAATAGAATGTTGTTCCTTTCACTTAGGTTTTCTCAATCTTTTGGAAGCGTGGCTTTCGATTTATATTATTACCCAGATATTGGTTAAGACATTTACTTTGCCTTTGCACCGACTGTCACAATTTTCATTATTTGTTCTCTCCTGTAGACAAATCGTCCGACGGTTTTGAGGTGTCCTAAATGGGTGTCCTATTTAAAAGCTAGTCATTGTTCACCTCAACGGTGCGACCTCGCTTGCAGAAGTTCGTATCGTTGATTTGTGTTTTTTGCTTGTATTAATTGGTCGCTAGTTGGATGTCGGCTTTGGCTATCCTTCCTTCTCGGGTAAAGGATTTTCGAAAATGCTTGAACGTACTTCCGGCAGTCAGTTGCACAATTCTTCAAATATTACAACAAAATAAAATGTTCTAGCGTGCATTAGAAAAGAGAAGACAGCAACCCAGTCTCTATCCCCACCTCCTTTCATGTATGCCCCCACCCCCAATTCCTTTCGTTTCCATTCACAAAATAAATATTTTTTTCGCTGTTGCCTTTTCTCTTTTTCCTGCATCTTTGTCAGTTTTCATCTTGTTTATCCGAATACCGCACATCTTCAACTGCTTTTTTTTGGGTGGAAAAATAGAATTCTCAAAATTAAAAAAAAGTCATTTGAGTCTGCGAAGGGTTTCATTTGTTCTCTCATTAGCCAAATACCAGTCAGTCTCTGGTGTGGTTTTGTACTTCTTTCCTATAACATCTATCATTCTTGTCTTTCCTCCTTTTTCTTTGTATGTCACTCTCTAAAAGCATCTCTTGTCTTCTGCACTTATATGACCTGTGTGTGTGTGTGTGTGGAAAGTGCCATAAAACTCTTTCTTAAAGTAAACTATGAAGGTAATAATTGTTTCTGCGCAGAAACACCATTTCTGTTGTTGTTGTTTTTTTCGTTTGGGTGGGGGAGGGGGCTCGGGGAAGGGGGAGGGAAGGGGTACATTCTCTCGCTTAAACATCGAAACCAGAGAGAAGGGCGGGAGGGGGGGGGTTAAGGGTAAGTGTTCTTTTAGCTGATCCTCATACAGCATTTAGACTCTACCTTCCTTGAATGAACTTCACAGAGAAAGGAGGTACTAACAGGCCCCTCCCATACTAAAGGCTCAAGACCTCTCCCGAGAGACTTCGCAAGGTCGTGACAGGAGGGTGCCGTAACTCTTAGTCCTGCTTAGCTCCACGGAAACGTTGCCAGGTCTGCCTTGACATTGTATGAATTATGAATTGGCGTGTAGGCTCTGCTCGTCAGTTTGGCATTAAAGTCGACGTGTGTCTGTCAGCGTGACGGAGGGGTGCATGCACGAAGGACAAACTGTCCTCTATTTAATTTGCAGCGGTGTAGGTAAGGATGAACCTTAAGTTCGCCAACTTTCAGGCGATGAACTCTACAAGGTGACTGAAATCACGTGGAGAGAGTGTGTTTTGATTCGAAAAGAAAGGAGTGTGGACGCGGGGAGGGGGGGGTAAAACTTTTTAAAAAAGAAATGAATAGGACAAAGAAAAAGAAACAAAGAAACAAATGCTTGTGTGTGTGTGTGTGTGTGTGTGTGTGTGTGTGTGTGTGTGTGTGTGTGTGTGTGCGTGTGCGTGCGTGCGTGCGTGCGTGTGCGTGTAGGTGGCCAACCTGCAAACGCATTTGTGTGAGTTGGATGGGGTGATGTAGTTGCACAAGATGTGAACCCAAAAACTAAATATACGCAAAGAATGGAGAGGAAAGGGATAACATAGACGAGAACAGGAAAATAGAAAACAAAGACATGATCAATAAGAAATATTAGTAGCTCCCCATGGTTATTTATTCCAAGTGAAGAGCATTTATTTTGTATCAAGTTGAACTGAGCAGCAGGAGACCTACATACATAACATAAGTCAACAAGAACGGACAAAATCAGTGTCAAAACTATGGCTTATTTGATTTACCACGACCAAATTGCCCTTCTTAATAAAGGATAGCCCACGTGGGACGCTCAATGTTAAAAACAATCAGGAAACGACAAATGCAGCTTTTGGGACACTTGAATAGACATAAGGGTCTTGAACATCTAGCTCTCACTGGCAAAATTAAGGGCAGGCGAGGCAGGACTAGGCCCAGAACAACATACTTAGGGAACCCAATCAAATGGGTAACAGAGAAAATCAGGGAAACGTAGCTTTTTTTAGAGCATCCGAGCAAAGAAATGAATGGAAAACCATGATCGCCGACTTCTGTCGCAAATCTGGCCCTGGATGATGAAGACCCCAAGTTGCTAGACGGTGTAAAGAACAATGATAAAAACAAACAAACGAACGAACAAACAAACAAACAAGCAAACATAGGTTTGAGACAAAGGAGAGATGTACTACTAGTGGGATCATCCCTCGATTTCCAGAAAGTATCGTGCAAAATGACAAAAGTTCAAGTTTTTTAATATCAATAATAAGGTGTTAAAACAGAGCCAAACCTGAACTATTGCAGACAATTCAAGACATATTATCTGTGGTAGTCTATTAAGTTTAACAAATAACATTCTCACGGGTCATGGCTGCGAGAGAGTGATTCGAGTCAGATAGTGAACTAATACATTCACATCATTTGTGTTTCCATTAGTTCAGATCAAGATTAAGGCACCCATGAACATGTTTTAGCCGGATTTTGGGAAACTAAACGGAGATAGCTAAAACACTTAAAATTAATCAGTAGCTTGTAGAGGAGAAGTCCATATATCGGAAAATAATCGGTTCAAATACTTTTTAAAAAGATGTTAGTGTTTTTATGCCCCTATCTACACAATTTAGACCATATAGGAAGCGGGCTTCTGATCTTGCCTGTCAAGGTCCACTGGGACTGAGAATAAGTTAATGTATCATTATGCGCGACGTGACGTTACGTCGCGCGCGACAGTCGCTCGCGATCAGTCTCGAGGTGTGCGTGCATCCTTATGCGCGACTAAGTCGCGCGCAAATTTTCAGTCGCGTGCGACAGAAGCAACAAAAGTGTCTCCTTATGCGCGACGCGACGTTACGTCGCGCTCGACTGGTAAATCCCGTGCGCGACTGGCAGTACACAACAGAGAGACAGTAGCAAGTTATTTTTCGCTCATAGCCCTGAGCCTTGCTTTCACCGACACACACACACACATACACACACACACACACACACACACACACACACACACACACACACACACACACACACACACACACACAAGCACACACACACACACACACACAAACACAAACGCTCACCACACACGACGTGTCGACCGGCACTCCTTGGCTAGATATTTGTCAAACCTGCCACAACCCCAGTCTGTCGCACGCGACGAGACCCTCGATCGCTACTTGGAGTGTGGACCGACCAGACGCGACAGTCGCGCGCGACTAAACGTCGCGTCGCGTGTAAGGAGACGGTTACGTTATAGTCTTACTTGACTGATTTTAGAGCGGCAAAGACCAGACGCGACGTTACGTCGCGTCGCGCATAAGGAGATAAGCTCTAAGCCTATACAACATCCCAGCAAGAAGCCCAAGATGCTCGATAAAAATTCTCCCCTCTCGACACGGAGAGGATACTTTTTTTTAGTAAGAGGCACCAAAGTAGTCAGCGGCATTTTGCTGACTCAAATGCTTGTGATCAAGTAGTATTATTATAGCAATAAGAGGCATAACCATCGTTGGTATGATGTTCAAATGCCCATAAAGATTAAACAGATCAGGAGAGAAGGAAACGCTTTCATTCTTTTAAAAACTGTACCTTTATCATGTTATGCTTTCTTACTTTTTCGACATTTAGAATATGAAATTCGGTAAAATATTTCTCGAGCACATGCAACCTACGCCACAAGTTAAGAAATTGTTTTTTGTTTTTTTAAACTATCAACATTTTGAGCTTTGCAGGCTACATCTGAACAACTGGCCGACTCTGTAGAGATCCAAGCTCAATTGTAGTTGCGTAGTATGAATATGATGCACACAATGACCATTGACACTTCCATTTATAGTATGAATGAAGAGACAAAGAGAATTGGCGGCTCATCTTTTTATACTAGGGAAACACAGCCCTTAACTGTTGTGAGTGTGGCCATTGGTTCTTTAGTCAATTTACAATTAAATAAGAAGTCACCGAAAGGACTGGTCGAGAGAAAAAAAAAGATAGAAGAAAATACCACAGAATTAAGATCAGCGTCATGTATAGGAATCGCAGAAGCAAAGTTTGGAAAGTCATTCACAAATGGTCTGATTAGAACAACAATTATGAGCCAAATCTTTGATAACTATTTTCCTAATTATGTTTAAAACTTGGGGAGGACTACGCTGAATGGATATAATGGCCATGACTTCATAACACACGTAATGAAAGCAGGTTAAGCTTCAGGTTAGAGTGATCATTAACACTCAAAGAACCGACACGAGAAAAAAGAAAACACCGAGCTGGGTTCATAATGTTGTTCCTTCAACGTGCATGGTTCGATGGTAAATAGGAAGAAAGTAAAGAAAACTAGAAGGCAGGTAATACACCAAAATAAACAACGCGTAAAGCTATATATTCAAACATAGATGCTCGTGGTTGTTGTTTCTCATTCGGAAGGATCGCTTCTCTTCCATTGTAGATCTATGTCAATGGCTATATAAGTTCATCCCATGAAAAGATGCTGACTCGAGAGGGTGTGGGGTTGGGGGGGGGGGGGCTTTTAAAGAACACCTCCCCTCCCAACATGATTAATTACCAAAGTACTATTTAACTAATGGGATGAAACTATAGAGAATGCTGGGAGAGGAGTAAATTGCGGACGGAGCTCTCAGCTTACACAATAAATACCAGCAATAAATACATTTATAGAAGTAAAATGATGTCAGTTACGCTGGGCGCCATTTGAAGACATGAAGGAAGTGAACCGCTGGGCGCCCTTTGAAGACATGAAGGAAGTGAACCTAATATTTCCGCTGACTCTTGAAGGATGGGGATTGGAGGAAGTAGAAGATACCACTGTGTATTGTTGCTTTGAAAACTGCTGCGTGGGCAGTGCTGGGCAGCGTGAAACGAAAACGCACGAGGCGGGGACGGAGGAGGTGACAGTTGAAGAGGTATGAAATGGAGAACAGCAAAGAATTGTTGTCCTGTTT